CCTTATATAGGGTTTGTTGTTGTTGTTAAGTGTCATCAAGCCAGTTGTGACTCTTAGTGACCCAGTATAGAATTTCTGAGGAGCAGCTGGTGGGTTTGAACTGCCAAGTTTGTGGTTCGCCATATGTGTTTTATTGAATTAAACACAGTGTTTTAATAAAAATTAGTAGCATTCAATAGCAAATCAAAGTCAACGTTCTGAGTAAACTTTGTGTACTGAGAAAAGCAAGCTGCCATTCAGCTGTGTGGTCTAGTTCTGATTTACCTGGATTCCACATCCCCATCCTGAAGGTGGGTAGGGGATCTGTGTTTGGCAACCCTTTATCAGCAGTTATCCTTAATGCACATACAAACAGAACTATAGAAAACCACTTCTGGGAGGGACTTCACTACTTCACCCTTTGCCTTTCTCAGATGATGTAACAAAGACCCAAAACAATGCAATGACTGCTCCATGTTGGGATGTCTCCTAATGACTGAGGTGGAATCCAAACTCAGATCTTGACTAGGCTTTTCCCATGACACCATGTATGCTTTCCTTTTTGTCCTGCCGCAACCTACAAGAGCCTACTTCATACTCAGTAAATGCTGTTTGACATTAGTGTTTACTTGGTCTTCAAAGTACCTTAGATGGGTAAGAGCAACTTGACTCTTAAGATGGCCTCAGATTCAGATGGCCCTATGTCCTGCACTTTGGTATACACTACTTAAATTCTTGCTAAATTACACTGAGTTTAAAAGAGGGGTCTCCTTCTTTTCAGGGATGTTGTTGCTGGTAAGTATCTTTGAGTCAGTTATGACTCATAGTGATTCTGTATAGGGTGTTTGAGGTTTTAAATCTTTGTGGGAACAGAAACTTTATTGTTCCCCTGATGAGTGGCTAGTGGGCTTGAACTGTCAACCTTGTGGCTCACAGTCCAATGCTTATCGTATGGAGCCACATGCTCCCTCTGGAGATAGACCAGGGTAAGACATTTGATACCTTGTCTATTTTCCAATAAGTCTGGCTGTGTTGGGGGCAAAGACTACTGCTTCCTTAGCTGCAAGGGAAAAACTATATTCTTATTATGGTGTAAAAGGTATTTCAAGAGCCTTGTATCTGCCACTAATACCTGTGAGGATCCCATGCTCAGACAGGCCAGCTCTGTCATTTGTTCTGTGTGTGACTTGCCTTTATTTTTGTGTATTGTTGTTTCCTCATCTGTAAAAGTGGAGATACTAACATTATCATGTTACAGGATCACTGTGAGAATTAAATGAGATGACACACATCTGGGGCACAGTAAACAATTGAGACCTGCCAGTTGTTATTTGTAGATTAATGATCAAAGTTTCAGCAAGGCTAAATGACTTACCCTTTTAAACAGAAGGAGCAACTCTAGATCTAGGACTGCTAGGGTCATATTCTATATGATTTCTACTATACAAGACTGCCTTCTTGGCTCTTCAAGTGTACTCTGAATGACTTGGGGCAGGGAGAGAGGTCTGAAGTGGAGGAGAGCCTCTGAATTTTGTAGGTGGGAAAACAGCCATCCACATCTGGTAAGTGTGCAGACGGTTAATCTTGCCATGAAGTGTCTTGGAGTGGCAGCATACAGTGAGTTACATTCACCAAAGAATTCTCAGATATAGACTGGATTCCAGGTGATATTTTCCCAGCAATCCATCTGGGAATGCTCTGGGAGTGAGGGGTGTCTCTGATTGGAAAGACTACTTTACTGAAGGTCATAATTTGTCTTGATTCCCTATTCCCCTATTTCTGGTGATTTGGAAAAGCCCTCCATATAGACTATAAGCATAGTGTGGCAAGAGTCTCTTTGAAATGTCTCCTATATCCTTTAATACACACAAAGAGAAGAATAGTAATATTAGAACCTAAGCAATGCCTTTCAGAGCCAGGCTCTGGTTCTTCTGGCCTTAAACCTGCCTGAGGCAAGGACACATGATCTGTTCATGGAAAAACTCAGAGGTCTATCCTGTTTCCAAACTCAAATGAGAAGATGGATTTACTTCATCTGTCATTGCTTCCTTTTGGTACTAGAACAGTGATGTTTTCTTTCTAGAGAAAGAGCAATCAGAGATCTAGTTTAGGTGCTGACTTCATTATTTACAGCAAGTTTATCACAAGGTGTAGAAACTTGAAATACATAGTTAAATGCAACAAACTTTAATGTTCTTATCTGTAAAATGAGGTTGGTGATAACATCTGTCTCACAAGGTTTTTGTGAAGATCAAAAGAGGTGCCAAACATGTTTGATGATGCATGCTGGAAATTGTAATCATTGCAATGAAACAAAATAAGATAGGATGAATGTAAAGCTAATGTTCTCCCATGTAAACTATCACATAATTCACAATAAAAAACTTAAAAAAAAAAAAAAAAAAAGACAGAGAGAGGTGCCAATCATAAAGAGCAATATGATTTATCCTTATTATTTCTTAAACTTCACCATCCAGGTATTAGTCCCACTTTTCTCTGATTTCTATAGCCCTATGATCAAAAGAAGATGGGCAGAATACACAGAGCTACAATACCAAAAGGAAATGGTTGATGTTCAACTGTTTCAAGGGGTAGCATATGATCAAGAGCCAATAATACTGAAGGAGGAAGTCCAAGGTGCATTGAAGGAATTGGCAAAGAACAAGGTACCATGAATTGATGGAATAAAAATGGAAATCTTTAAAAAAAAATGAAGTGGCACTCACTCATCTATGCCAAGAAATTTGGAAGACAACTATCTGGCAGACTGATTGGAAGAGATCCATATTTGTTTCCATTCCAAAGAGAGGTGACCCAACGGAATGTGGAAATTATCAGACAATATCTTTGATATCCCATGTGAGTAAAGTTTTACTAAAGGTAATACAGAAACGGCTG